CTTAAAAGAGTAGAAAACGTAAACAAAGTAAACGTGAGATTACATTTAATAAAAAGGAAGTCTGTAGTGGCCAAATTAAAGGAGCAGAAGCTCTCTTGAAGTGAAGTTATTAAACTGACATACATGCAGCGTACATCACCTTTATTTGAGTGTCTCAAAAATTTTCAGCTTTTAGAACTAGTTGGGAACACTAAAATAATTATCAAACTAATAAATAAATAATAAATAGATAAATAATAATATATTATTAAGAGAAAATCTGTATATATACTACGACAAAATAGTTCTAAAAATAGTTAATAGAAGGGTAGTAAAATAGTTAATATGACAATAAAATGATGTAAACATGACAATAAAATGTACAATAAGAAGTTATGCCCAATAAAGGATAACCAACAATAGGAAAATAACAACAGTTTTAAATGAAGTGGTGAATCTGAGTATTTAAAGTGTTTATTTCTGGCTGCCAAGGCGAAAAAGTTAATATCCCATTTTTGAATTGGTTAAAAAGTATGTGTTAAGTCTCAATTGGGATTCTTTCGCAAATTTATCAAACCATTACGTTAAAAGTTAAGGCCAAAATTTGTTATAGAAATTGGTCTTTACAGGGTTTTCTCGAAAGCATACCTGGTAATATTCATAATGCACATGACATAGATGGATAGATCATTTTATTTTTTCATTAGAAAAATAATGATCATTCGAAGCAGGTAAGATCGCGTCGTTGACTATTCGCTCACAGAAAACTCGGGCTCGTAGTCTAATTTTTAAACAATACGAGATTGCCCTTTCTCTTGTACGAGCAAAGACGATAGAGCAAAGGTGCATATCTTGACATTCGTACGCTCTGAATCATTTTAATTGAAATTAAAGTATTAAGTAATGTCCAAGGTTTTAAAAACTCCAAAAATGAATTTCTTTGTATTTTTGTGAAAAGAAAAAATACGTTAACCAAAATAAAAACTCACCGTTATTTAAGTCTCCAATCGCTCCCAAAAGATACCAAGGTTGATTCAGGTCCCTGAAGTTAGATATCTCTGGGTTGATGACCCTCGAAATTCTAAACATTTCAAGAGGTAGATTAGGTTTTTATTGACGGTTAATTCCGTTGTTGTACATGTCGTAACCTCTTACTCGTTACTTTGGCGCATATTGCATCCAAAGCTTCTCTCCTTTTCACGGCTACTGATCATGTAAATCGTGCCTTATATTATGGTGAGGAACCCTCCCTTTTTGCTTGAATAAGGTTTCAGCAAGACCCTGAGCAGAAATCTCTCCTTTTTTGGCGGATTATCTGGAAAGTGGGAATAGGTAAATTCACTTCACATCGCGAATTGTTTATCGAGGAAGTGCTCAAAGTAACAATCGCAAATGATATACTAAGACATCGTTGGGAACAGCGATCTGACAGAACCTTGATAGAGCAAATAATTGGTGAAACAGGTGACAACAGGAGTAAGGTGGCAATCTGCCTCTCATAGAGGACCTGTCACGATGGTCCAACGACATATCAGAGACTTAAGGATCCAAGTTTCCCAGACTTCACGTTTTAGGTTTTCTACTCGCGTTTTGAACGTCAAGAGGTTGGTTTTCATTTAAGCCATTTACCTCGAACTTTATTGCCTTGAATTTTGTTTTATGCAACGTACAAATGCCCAAATAGAATTAAGTAAACCCTTTAATTCTAAAAATTGGTTAGAATGTTTAGACGAATAGGCAATTATCTGGCCTTCCATTGTTTACTGTAGAAATGCACTGATCCTCCGGGCAAATCCAACATGGCGGTGGCTTAAGTTGAATGTGCGTGTCATGATGCTTTATTTCTTTAGAAAGCCACAAATGCTACAAAACGTACTTGTAGACCCCTTTCAGTTTATTCCCAATCTGGGGGAAAAAAAATAAGATTGTTTTGCATTTGAAAGGTTTGTTTCCGAACTCAAATTTCCTTGTTGTGGGCTCCTGATGTGATTGGAAGAAAAACATGAGCGTGAAATCATGCCGCAACAGCACACCAACCTAAAAGTGCGTAGGTCATAGATAATAAGAAATACCTGCACTTCATCATTTCACCATCTTTTTCTCCCTCAATAACTGTCACTGCCGCTGGTGTCTGAAGTAGAAAAAATCCGAAATAAAAAAATTACTTCACTGTCATTGCACAACCCCAACAATTGTCGGGAAAATAATTAGTGAAGAATTTTTTTAAAACCTGAATAAGATGTTAGGGCCCTTTCAATTTTCTGGTTAATAAAGCTTATCGATGTCAAACCAATTCTCAATAAGATGAGTTTTGCTTCCACATCGTGCTTTGCAAGCTCTGGCGCGCGCCTAGACATAAAACAATCTGTTGGCACACCCTTTTTATAAGAATATTGTTTTTCCGACCGAGGCTGAATATTTTTATTTTTCTGCCGATTTTAGGCTGAAAATGTACTTGTGAATATTCTTAGATTATATAGCGTATAACATTTCTGTTTTCGAATGTATTTGGTGTCTGAATGGTGTTAAAGTAATTAAAAAGCCACACTGCAGGCACTTAAAATGCATGATATCAGACGCATATAACTTCTAGTAGAAATGACATTAACTTCAAACATACGGCTGGTGCTGTTTTTGTTGTTTATTGCCTAGTTTTGCTGTTTCGAAAAAGGAAGAATTTTATACCGTTTAGTTAAAAGCATATAATTGTATTGCATTTGCAATTTTTCAACACAGAAGCATATTCTTTTCAAAATCTTAGCCTCGGGTTTATTCTTAAAATATTCATAAAATTTCGCAAATTTCAGCCCCGATATTCTTATAAAACAAATTCTCATAAGAAAGAGTTAATTTACTGAACCAAATGAAACCGACTGAGAGTAGACGTTCCTCATCAAATTAACGACAAAAGTTGTTGCAATAATAAAAGAGAAAGTCAATACTTACCGGAGTGGTCCTAACAGGCGCAGACCTCCCTGAGGCATAATAGTGACCAGTTAGAGCTGCATCGCTGACGCACATAAGGATGTCTGTATCGGGCTGTGAATTGAAAGAGTGCTATATCACATATCAAAATGCTTTTATTGCAAACTTCAAAACTTATTTGTTAGGGGAATTCTTTCGATAAAAACAGCACATTTCCTGCTAAATGTCACACGATACAATGCATATAGCAATTAACTTAATTTCCCTAGTGTCCTCAGAATAAGCCTTTTAGATACAATTTTGGAATAGCTCTTTAATGCGAAAGTGGCACCTTCATTCAGTATCCAGGTAGTACAGTTAGTCCTTTACATAAGCCTTATTGGCTTTCCTGGGTTTCCTTGCCTAATATACATTGATACTTTGTCAATATATTCATAAAACGCAAAAATAAAACAAGAACGAGTACAGGAACGTAATAAAAACGCCCCTTTAAAACTGCAACGTTTGCATCGTTTGATAGGCGGACTTTCCCATCATAGTCGATCTGATCTAGGCCGTTTCCCTAGTTTCGAAATCAGAGCCATACGTTTACGTCAAGAGAAATAAGAAGTTTTATCCTTCTATCCTCTACTTAAAAGTAGAGGATAGAAGGAATCCTCATAATAGACCATATTCGAATTCCCGGTATTGGACTGGAACTAGCTTGCAATGGAGGCTCATGTGGGGAAATATCATTAAAAAAAGGAGTAACACTTGAAAAGACTCCCCGCATTAGCCTAATAAAGCGTTGTCGATGTGACAGACACGAGGTATTATACACCGGAGTTCGCCAGGTCAAACCAACATCGGTGATCATCAGTCAGCAAGAGTCGACGAAGTTTATTGAAGGACGGGCTAAGCCACTTATAGATCACTTACGGTAAAAACTAGACATGAATTGACGATTATTAGAGTCGCAAAAGGACACGTAATCAGTGAAACTTCAACAAAGGAAAAGGTATCAGAACGACTTACATCTGATCGTCCCTCCGGGTGTGGAAACTCCAAAAACAGAGCTTCATACTCTTAGTTTTAACCCCGACTCTGCGATAAATGAAGCTCCAATCAGCAAAAAACGTTGCAATACACCGATTCCAGAAAAAAAAAACCGGAAGTTGCACCGAAACGAGGCTCAATAGCCTTAGCGGTAAATATTCAAAGCAACATGGCGAACGAAGAAGAGAAGTCAATCACTATTCTGATGATATTCCCGGCGTCAGTGTGAGCGTAGAACGGATTGAGAAATTGACACTTAGGCAATTGAAATTCTGGCTTAAAAGTCGCCGTATAAATTAAAGCGGCAAAATAAAGGAACTTTTCGAAAGATATGTTTGCCATCCTTCGATTGTCTCGATCTCTAATATGCGAAAAAACAATTTTTATCGCCTAAAAGAACTCTATTCATGGTCGGTTTAGGAAAAAGAATCTGAATGAACTGAAAATTTTAAAAATCTACGACTCTGACCCGAACAATAGCTTTACTAAAGCTAAAGTAGCTTAAAGTAGTAAAACTGATAAAGCAAGAGCTCGAAAGAAC